AGCCCTCTCTTGTAGTGCACATTTGCCAAAAAATCAGTAAAATGGATTTTCTATTTAAAAAAACCGATCCTTGCATTGCAAGTTTCTACTGTCGGTTTTTTTTCAAATACTTATAGAAAGAACACAATTGTCCGGTGATGTGCGCCTACAAGCTCGTTACCTGCCGTTTTCAATGGTGGGGCCTCCAGACGCAGGTTGAAAACTTAATTCAAAGGGTTAGTATTTCACTAGACATTTGTCGCCTTCGTATGCTATGAATTTCCTTTAAATCTTGACCTCTTCCAACCCAACCGTTTTTCATTTGAACTACTTGAGTACTAAAATGTTACACGTGCATTTTTGCAGTTACATTTTTTCTGTCTAAATTTATGATAAAATTTATTAATTTTGGTAGTAGTAGTATTTACACCCCTTTCAAATGGATAGCTCATAAAAACTAAGTTCAGCTACGTATAATCTCGATAAGTTAAGTCCGACGACGTAACTGGGACTTGATGGAGTAAAAAGCAATTACATAAGCCATCTTTTTGCTGCTGCGTTGCTGTCTCCAACCTCAATTTAAAGGACAAGTTAAGGACGAGGGAACTCAACTTGCACCAAGCCTCTAAACATCCACTACGTACAAGTTAGATCATGAGAAGTCTGGACACAGGCTACAGAGCCAATCGACACCGACGAGTCTGAACCCATTTTAGGGGCCAACCAGTCAGTATACGAAGTGGACTGAGTGACAAGGGCAAACTCAGTATTGCCTTTTAGAACGTGGAACCCCTTCATGCACCATCAACACAAAGCCTAGCCATACGAGAGTTAGCACAACACGATGTGAATCTTGCCTGTATTTACGAGGTATGCTTGTAAAATCATGGATACCGGAACATTTACGTGCAGACGCCTGAGGCATCTTACCACCTCTATCACAGCCTACTGGGGTCTCGCAGTCTCCAGAGGATTCATTCATGCGATATGAATTCGTGTCATTGACGAGTCGCACTTCACCGTCTTCTTTGTACCTTTGTGAGCGTTAGAGTTGATATGAAGTGCGTCGTGGCGTGGGCTATTGATAAAATACAGGAAAATACATCTTTATGGCAAACTTCAAAGCTTAACTAGGCGTGAGAGATT